GCCAGATGGACTGCATAATAACTCCGCTGCAAACCAGGGCCACGTACCCCCGCCCAATTGACGGAGTATCGCAGATTGGGTTTAGGGAGGGATACCAAAGAGGATTGATCCAATCGTCTGTCCACTGAGGGGAAGTCATCCCCCATCATCCTTAAGGACCTTAACCAATGATGAATCCACCACAGCCGCACCTCGTCTGCTAATGGGCAATGCTCCCTCACAGGGGAGTTGGATTCCCAACCCCAATCACACCTTACAGGTGATAGACAGGCCCATGCCCGTCCCTGAAAGCCATAGAGCAGAGGGGACCATGCGGAGCGACTGTAGCCACATCAGACTGGCTGATCTCTGAGAAGGGATGCGTCTGAGGCGAGACCATAGAGCCCCCCATTCCGGTTGGCCCGGCTCCGAGCCCTTCAATTTAATCAGTCGGCTGGTTGCCAACACAGCGGCGGTGCGACGCACCTCCTTTTGTAAATAAGAAACTCCCACCTTTTTTCTTTTTTTTTTTAATAGAAATCCACCTTTATGTTACAGAAAACCAAAGGTCCGAAGGGACAGTAGCTGGCCCTTCAGCAGACTCCTCACTCAGCTCCCAAGAGTATAAATCAGGCTCTACTGCGTATTTATCTGCATCCCCTAGCAGAGAGGAGACTTTGTCTTTACAATGGACTCGGAACTCGCTTCAAGTTTGCACGTAGTATCCACCATTTTCGCCTGCAAGAAGCGAAACTGACTTTCCCCATTACGAGGGGGGAGTACTTGTCATTCTTCTATTCTCATCCCTGGGTCTAACTCAGGGCCCACCACCTTCCCACACCTGATTGGACCCCTCTTCGGACTCCACCCATGAGCCCGCAGCATTCTTCCCCCCCCCCCACACACACACACCCAACCTCTCTGCAACCGATTGCAGCAGTTGTGCGCTAACCAAAGTGCTAGTTTGACAATGCACTGGTTGGCAATTCAATGCGTTGTTTGCCGATGCACTTGTTTGACGTTTCGCAGTCGAGGGAGGTAGGACCTCAGCACGTCTTTTTTTCTGACACCCAGTTGTCTCCGTCCTCGTCCCACACGTGCTTAACCCTTGGTATCCCTTTTTCAATCCACGAGCGACCAACATTGCCCGGTTCCGTCCCTAGCCGAAAACGATTCACCGTTTGGTTGGCAAATCGATGCACTGTCAAACAAGCAGTGGTTGGCTATTTTCAATTTCGAAGTATGAGCCGCTGCCTTGCCAGGACACAATTTTTTCCAGGCTTGCAGAATTACCCCTCCACACCCGAGATTTGTCGCCACGGTTTTGAAAACTGGGCAGCATACAGCATTGTCAGATGTCCCTTATGGGGGGGAGGTTCTCACTGTGACAAGTTTTTCCAAAAAATTGTACATGCTACGTCCTCGTAGGGTGCTTTGACCTTTTTGCAGTGCTTCACGCCTTTGAAATCATGCCTGGCTGCGTGTGTTTAGAGATTTTTGACCACAAAGGAGCGAAGTCGCTACCATTCCATTTTTTCCGAAACCGAAAGGAACTACTATGATTTTACATAATCGAGGCAGCCGCCAAGCTGTTGTATAATATAATGAAGTTTTAATAACAAATCTTGACGTAACACATTTTCATAATGAAAACGTCCAATCTTTACATAGCAAGTAAGCAATTTGGATCCACAACTTGGATGGATTATCTTTTTTTTTTTTTTTTTTTTTTTTTTTTTTTTTTTTTAAGAAACAACCCGAGTGAATGCTAGGGGTGCTGATAAGAGCAGACACCACTAGCATGCTCGGGGAGGCTCCATCTATTGGTGGGGAGCAACACCTGCTGGAAACCGGGTCCAGCGTCCCTTGACATTACAGAAGTTATGTACTCGCGCCACGTGGATGGATTATCAAAACATGCTTTCACCACCCACTTGGCCAATAAGGCCAAGTTTTGTCTGTGTGGGTCCAAGATGCCCAGGTCTCCTTGGGAGCGTGGGACGGAGATCGCTTCCCATGCTACTTTTGCGATATATCCCTGATCCTCGCCGACCGAGGGATTCCACAGGTACTTCGCTGCAGCTAGCCAGATCTTTTTTGCATGATTCCTCACCCAATAAGCGAATAGTTAGGGGAAACCATGGTATCAAAAATGTGGCGGACGATAAAAGTTCATAAAACCATAGCTCAACCAAATAAGGATAAGTTGTAGTTACGTAGCCAGGCCCGGATACGGGCCGTGACCCTGTGGGAAAGCAGCTGGTCTTGCGTGCGAGAACAGTCAGCCAGGGAGACCTGGATCCCCATAAATCTTTCTGTGATGGGGCTGAGGCAGAGCAGCGAGGCCGGGGAAGAGAGAGGGAGAGAGTGAGAGCACACACACACACTCACTGAACTCGACACGGACTCGACACGACTGGACGGACGCAGACACAAAGTGGCAAAAGTCACAAAGTCACAAAGTCACAGTCTTGGATTCCGAACACACTGTCGCAGCAAGTCACACTGAAGCACAAGCACTGAGGCCGAAAACTGAGTGTACGAACTCAGCTTCAGTCCGGTCTCAAGTACCGGACTCAACTTCACTCCTGAGGGCAGAAACACAATTTGCCTCAGGGCTGAACTGAGAATCGAAGTCCTGAGTCTGGGCGGCAGAATGCGGGATGGCGCCAAGTATCGAAATCAGGAAGTGTCAGGGGAGGAATTTGAGAACGGGCGCCAACTGCAGAGGGCGCCAACAGTCCGGAACCGGAGATCAGAAACTCAAAAAGAATTAAATAGCAGCCTGGCGGGTGGTAACCCGCGGACCAGGGATCGAGCCCTGGATGAGTCCGTAACACTATCCCCTCCCTCTGGAAGCCAATGTCCCGGCTGCCAAAGACCCAATGAACAACTGTGAAGGACGGGACGGGGCCGATCACTGGTCAGAAAAGGAAAGGGGGAGTAATCTGAGTGAGGACGCCGCCCGGCCGGGCCGTTGGGCCCGGAGCGGCCGCCCGGGTAAACCGGGCGGGCCAAAAAAACACCCAGAATTTTTTTATTTTTTTATTTTTTTTTGAAACCGAGGTCGTTCTGCGCTCGGCGAGAGGACCCTGAATCTGCAATAAA